AGAAGAGAGGCAACGCGCGGTTAACGAACCAGAATTGTTGATTAATCGACGGTTTCTAATTTATCCGGTGAAGTAAGCAAACACTAGGGGCAAGACAGAATTTCCAGATTCCTCAGTCAGGTTTACCACGATGGAATATTGATGATCACGCGTTTTGCATATGTACCCTCTTCCGGACATTTAGCGAAACTCCGTCGACCGGAAGGTAATTCGCAGTTCGAATGAATTCGTCATGATTTCGTGAGCAATGTTCACCCGTTACATCGTTACAGGCCGTGCTCACCTTCATCATAAACATCCGCCGTGGCTTGCGATGTATGTATATGTATGTATATGCCATAGCTTGCTGCCGAAACGAGGTATAAAACGAGAGAATGAATGAGAGAGAAAGAATTTGTCAGAGAGAAAACGGAAAGGGTGAGAATGCGGAGTTATGAACTTGTGAGGAGCTTGAATTTATGGACACAAATTTCTATCCAATGAAGAGTAGCATGTTTATGAGATACACTACAGTATCGTGTGCCCGCTAAATGTTGAGTCTTGAAACTCAACATTCATATATATTAAAATTTGTTAAACTATACGAATATGTATTTCTAATAAATCTAATATCACGTGCCAGAAAGTAGGCACTAAAAAGTAATGAGAAGCGTCTTTATTGCTTACGAAGAACTTGTATTCTTGTGTACAGCCATGCTTCCTAGATTAGGAACGAAGGGAATGGTAACAGTGACCGATAAATTTCATGGCCACTGTCTCTTACTTGTAATTAAACGCACAATTTAAACGGGCCGTTAGTGTCAGCATGCCTAAACCAAAGTGTCTTCTCCTGGTAAACGTTCTTAGATGGCTGGCTTAATATTAGAATCAATTGGATCGCGTTAAGAAACATGGGGTTAACCGATGAAACTACTGCATGACGAAATATGTAATGGCCCGAAATTAATTTTCATACTAATAAATGAAATCAATATTTCAAAATTATGATATTACATATTAATATAAAGGATGTTGTATAAATGTAACTATCTATAATGTTATTACTGAAACAATTTATGCGTAGTAATTATAATTGTTATTATCGATTCACATGATAAAAGGAACAGGATTTCATTATGCATGCCTATGAACGAAACGCATTTCTAATTACAGCATTGTGACGACTCACACCACGTACCAGTCGAACATCTGCGATCCATCGTGATGGATAAATCACCTTGGGACCACCCTCCAATCGCATCTCGACCATCGCCTTGCATATAGACAGTTACTAATGAGCCAACCCCATTTAATTAACCGTATATAGCATCGACGCAACTGCCAGACTATTTCCTGACTAGCGCACATCACGTATTAGTTTCGACGCAACCCTTCTTTCACGCCCGGTTCGGTGGTGGAGTTTCGTTACCATTAAATTCTAACGATAAGTCAAGCACATCTGTTCGATTTATATTTGAATTTTACTTTTTAATAATTCATCAAGAACATTGGTATGAGTAACACGACGCGAATTTGAAACTACATTAAATTATTCAAAGTACCAAGAGCTCAACTGTAATAAATTAATTAATAACGCAGTATACACAAAAAGTATATATTTAAAAAATAGTATATCATTCTTCAAATGTAGTTTTTATTTGACACTCCTATCCTCTGAGAAGTACTGTATTTTTTTTAGTACACACTATATTTTAGGTATGGAATGCTTGACTTTGTCAAAAAAAAGTTGAAAATCGTACTGTAACCCGAAATTGAAGGCATTTACATCAGTGGGGCAAGTGACTGATAATTGTTAAGGATATATTGGCTATACAGTCAATCCCAAAAGTTTATGCACTTTAGAAACGCATTTTTTAAAAAGAAATCAAACGTCGGAAGAACAATGCTAATAATAAAGAACAAAAAAGATTTTCGATTTTTCCGAGATTTTTCCAAGGGGTACCCCTTCAATTTCTTCCAAATTTTCGTTTTTGGCCAATAGCTCCTAAACCGTTGGACATACGGAAAAATTGCATATGACCTTTCTTGTAGAGGATGACGAGATCTACAATTTCTGTATAAAAATTTTCCGCTAGCGTCAATAGTTAACGAGTAATATTATAC